CATTAGGAAACAAAACTTCCAGAACATGGCCACACAGCCTGGAAGACCCACACCAGCCATCGTTTTCCGGCTGTGAAAGCCTTCGACAATACAGGTAGAAGATCTATTGGAAGGTCTTTTCCATAGATCACCAGACCTTTGGAAGAAACTTCCAATAGCTCTGTTAATTGGCCAAAGTCCTAATAAAAATTCAGTTCAACGCTGGACCTGAGTCAGGACTTCTCCCTTGGATTTGTGAAGAACAGCTGAAGACCTACCCGTTTACCTTCCAAAAACCTTGAGTAGTCCTGTTAAAGTAGTCTTTCAATATTTTTAGATTTGTTTTGGTATTTTCCACAGCAACTGTAATAATATGTTGATGTCCCCATTATTTTAATGTTTGAAATTCTAATATTTTTTTTTAAAATGTGGTTTTATTGTTGGAAGCCAACTGAGCACCATGAGAAAATAGGGCAGGGTATACTTCTAAACACAGCTGAAAAAGACTAGTGCCAGCAAAATGGCCATTTCTCTGGACTGGAATAAGACAATTCACTGTATTTTTACCCTCCTTTGGCTTTCTGTAACATTTCTTCCTATTCAGCACATATTTCTGACACCCAAGTGCCTTAAGGTGTTCACTTGAAGGAAATGTTAATGATGGACTCACTCTTAATTTCAACATTACAGTTGAAATGAAAATCTGAAATTCCTGTCTCTCCCTTTCCATCAGATTCAGCAAACACAGAGGACAAACACAACACACCATGGTTTATGAGGGATATAATCATTACCTAGCTGGTTTCAATGCTGCAAGCATCAACAATATCTCATCTAACTGGAAAGAGTTTACTATTGTGCCCCCTCCTACCCCCCATGTTTTGTCCCAGGTCTTTTCAAATTTTTATTAATGACTTGGATGCCAAGAAGGGAGGAACTGTTATCAAATCTTCAAATCTGATAGCTAGAGCCTTGGAGGATAGAAATACAATTCAAAATGATATTGATAGATTAGAGAAATGGACTAAAAGCAGCAGAATGAAATTTAACAGAGGGAAATGTAAAGCTATAGATGCAGGCAATATAAATCAAATGCATAAATATAGGATGGGGAACACTTGGCTCTCTAACAGTATGTGTGAAAAATACCTTGGGACGGTTGCTGATCACAGATTGAATTTGAATCAGCAGAGTGATGTGATTTGCAAAAAAAAAAAAAAAAGGCAATGCAATTGTGGGCTGCAACACAACTACTTTCCAAATTGCAGGAAGCAATAGTTCAGTAAGGTTTTCTCTATTCGACATTGAGGACTGTGTTCAGTTCTGGGCCCCACACTTTAGGAAGATCCAGGAAGATGAGAAGAAGTTCAGAGAAGGGCAGTGAGGATGATCAGGAGACTAGAAACACTCCTGCGAAAAGCAATGGATGGTGTTGGGTATGTTCAGCACTGAAAAGACTAAATGGAGATATGTTAGCATCCGTTGTATGTGCAGAGGAGGGTAAAACAGGCAGGGTAGTGAGTGTGGCATTGTAGCCCAAGTCCTGCCCCTTTGTAATATGTGAGTTGTTGATGCATGTACGAAAGGGACCTGGCTTGGAACAAGATTTCACACCTGCCATCTTGACAGCTCTTTAGGGGTGCTGCTACCCTAGTACTGAAAAGCTATCACACAGAAGAAGGTGAAGACCTGTTGCTTGTCATCCCAGGCACAGAGTACAACATAACAATTTAAGATGCAGCAAGACAGATTCCAGTTGAATTTTAGGAACCATGTCTTAAGAGTGAGGCCAGTTCAAAAACAGAACGTGTTATCTAGCGAGAGGGTGGGCTCCCCTTCACTGGAGGTGTGCAACCAGAAGCTACATGCTTTAATTTGGATTGGGTGTCCTGCAAAGTGCAGGAGATTGGACTCAGCCTGATTGTATAAAAAGTGGCATTTTTTTAAAAAATTACTGTAGATAGGCTTTTGGATCTTAGCTGACATCTTTGCTGCAGTGGTAGCTACGTTTTCTTTTTCTTTATAGCTGCTCTGTTAATGGAGTTGCATTTACCTCTCAATGAGGCCATATTCCATCTTGAATGGTATTGTTCTTAACTGCCTTGTGCAAAATTTCTATAGGGAAAGGCCCAGTACAAATGTAATGCATGAATGAAAAGATAGATTTTCTGCAGGCAAAGCTTTGGATCTGTCACCTGTCATTGCACATCATCCCTCCGTGTTTGGGTCTGATCATGTGTAGAGTTTGTGATTATGGCAGCAGAAGGATTTTGCACGTTCCCTTGAATGGCCTTCTCCAATGTGGCAAGCTTCAGATAGGTTGGATTGCAATGCCCATAATCCCCAGTCAGCACAGCCGTGCTGCCTCAGGGTTAGGGGACCAATCTGGCAAGTGCAAAAATGGGATCGGAATATTTTTAAGTAGGCGTTGATGACTCTCTGATGAACGGAGATGTTCCACGGAAAGCGATGGACTTGTTTTCTAGTACAGAAACACTTGCTGATAAATCCTAGGAAATTGCTGTGGTTAATTAATGAACTCTTTAAAAAAGCCCACAATAAAGATATTTATTGTATGAAATCTGGTAGCACGGAAATAAGTTGATGAGTTCAGAATATCAAAATGGCTTTCCTTTTTGCTCGGTTAATTTTGGTGAGAAATTATACATGGAAATGAACTAAATATGTATTGTTAGCATTTCCAGGGATTTGAAAATTCTGCATGTGACGCTGGAAGTAAAATGAGGAAAGCAAGTGCCTTCTGTAATTCAGTCCATTGCTGGGGCTAGAGCCGGGCAATTCTGTCCAATGATTTTTTAATTGTTATTATTTCTCACTTTGGGAATTTCATCTTACCCTTTATTTATGAATTAAATATTTTCTTTGCATTGTCTCCATGCACATTTTCCTGCCCATTTTCTGCAAACAATGGTTTTATAGGAAAATGGGTTGGGGATATATATATATATATATTTGCACTACTATGGTCTAATACATTTTTATAGTGTGCTGTGTGCGCATGTTTTCCCCACTATATGCATTTTAGGTACATCATTTTTCCATGCAAACTGCAGTGCAAGAGTTCAGTATGTAGGAGCTCTCCTATGTATTTGACAGGTTTCCCTGCAAGTTAATTCTTATCCATAATAATACCTAGCTGACCTTGGCTGATCTCAAAAAACTAAGCAAGTTAGAAATCCCAGGACTGTAGGCTAAACTAGGAAATTTAAAAAGCATCCAAAAAGAAATCAATGGCAAATCACATCTGCATTATTGCCGTGGTCAAGTCCATGGTGCCCCCCCCCCACCGCCCACTGCTAGTCAAGCTTGAAACAAAGAATGGTGCAATCTTTGTTGCAGCAGGGGGTAACATTTAGGCAACCTTGAAGGGTTGGAATGGGTTAATACTTGGATGCAAGGATTGTAAGGTAGACTGGAAGTAAAAAAAAAAAAAGTACTTCTGCACCGTTTCCAGAACACCACACACATGAGGTCACCAGGAGATGAATTCAGTTTTGAAAAAGACTTTACTTTTGACGCAGCTCTGTATGGTTCCTTGCTCTGTTTTGAAGGAAGCAAGGAGGACAAGTGGGTATGCAGGTTGCAACTCCACTGCAGGTTACATGGAGGTTCTTCTTTTTCTCCCCACCCACTGTCCTTTGCATTAAAAATCACCCACCCCCAGAAGCATCCATAGGATTGGAGGCTTTCATCAACATGATGAAAGCCAAATCATGCCCTCTTGATGGAAACTCTGCTCCTTTTGTATCTGCATGTGATGTCATGATGCAGGTACAAAAGGAATGAAATGTGATGCTTGGATACACTTTTCATCATCAGATCCCCTTGAACCCCCCAGGATCTGTCTGTCCATCTGAGGTTGAAATTAATAATAGTATTATTTGTTCCGCTTGGAGCTTTATTCTTCTTCCTAAGGGCACCTGATTGGAAAGGAACTGTTAAATCTTTTAGCCCCCTGTCCTTGGGCCTGATTCAACACAACCTCCCATTTTGACTATTATGCAAAAGATATAAGGAGGTGAATCATAAAGAGGTGAAGTCTTGGGGGACTAGTAATCATGATGATATTTAATCATACTCTGCTATCAATATGTCAGAAGCTTGGCTGGTTGAACTGTCAGGTTTTTGAAAGCTGTGTGAGTAAGTCCACATAGGTGTTAATAAAAGGATCAAAGACAATCTTACCTGTCGCTAAGGTCTACAGATTTAAGCTTTGAAATATTACAAAGTTCTCTTGCAGGTCTGGTGACTACCCTCTCTCTCACTGTCCCCCACCTGAGAGCTCAAGTGCCCTATTCCAAACAGCATTCTGGACAAGTAAGGGGAAATGACACAAAACATGGTGGACTAGCCCACTGGAGCTGAGCAGAGAAATACATGCTAAGGAAATGCTGCTAAAATTTGCCCTCCTCCTCCACCCCTGAAATCAATTACTAGCCTTCATACGTCCCCAACCACCAAACCATGACCTGTCAATTGAGCCAAGACATAGAAGGCAATTTTATTCAGTGCTGTTTGAGAGCATACAGGAGGAAAAGATACGCTCATTCTCCAAGGAGTTGAGAATCTGAAATCTGACATTCAGGTGGAGAATGAAAAATAGGAAGGGCAAATGTAACAAGAGCAGGTGTGTTTGTTGGCATCAAAGCCACAATGAAATGTTATCTGATATTTGCATGCTCTAAAACAACACCGGACTAACACACAGAGTATCGATTTCCACAAACTTTCTGGGATAGAGAAAAGGCAAAGCTTGAGAACAATGTCTATCATATAGCAAGAGATTGTAAGAAGGGAAGGAGAGAGGAATATTTGTATTGGGTCAGACTGATGGTTTCTAGTATCCCATTTCCAAAAGTGGCCAGTTTCCCATCCTATCACTGAAGGGAGTCAACGGAAGATGATTTGAGGGATCATCAAGGAGATCTGATTACTGGGGAAAAGCAAGACAGCAAAGAAAAGTGGATTTCAACACAACAATGTCACCACTTATTCAGACCACCTTCCAAGTTGTGATTACAGCCCACAGCACCCTGGGTATGACTGCAAGTGTCTTTATTGTGGCTGTCGGCTTGATAAAGTGGGTGAAAGGGAAAGGGTGGCCCACTTGTGAAGTCATCCTGATGTGCCTTAGTATGTCTCGGATTGTCCTTCAGGGAACCATCCTGCACTCTACGTTTCTCCCCAAGTTATACCAGTGGAATGTACTCAGCGTGCCTTCAGTCCTTCTGGTGCTGGCCAGCACAGCTTCTTTGGTTTGCTGCCTGCCTCAGTGCCTTCTATTGTGCAAAAATTGCCACTTTCACTCAACGGTACTTTCTCCTCCTGAAGCTGAGAATTACAGAGAGGGTTCCAATGCTTCTTCTGGGGTCGGCATTGGTCTCTTTGATTTCATGCCTCCCTTTCATCTGGGTGGATTATAGCATCCAGCTGTGCAACTCAACCGGGAGCCATCTGAAGAAGGTCACTATTGAAAACCCCATGGGAAACATCTCCCATCTGAAAGTCTTCCTCGTGTATCTGACTTGGGCAGTCATCCCCCTTCTGCTGTTCCTGGCATCATCCACCTTGTTAATTGCATCTCTGTGGAGGCACACCAAGCAGATGAGACAGAGCTCAATGGGTTTCAAGGATACAAGGACGGAGGCTCACATCGCTGCCATTAAATCTCTGATCTCTTTCCTAATACTCTACATCTGCAGTTTTGTAGCCAACATGCTTCCTGGGATTCCTTCTTGCTGAACTAGCAGCAAATGGAAAGAAAACATCTGTTTGCTTGTGACTGCTGTGTGCCCTTCAGTCCATTCCATTCTGTTAATTCTCTTTCATTGGAGACTGAAGCGAGCCCTCCAAAGCGTTCTGCTTTACATGGTATGCCATTGGAAAAAAGACGATTCCTAAGAACTTTCTGAAGAACGAGAGATCCAGTAGACCCACATTTATATCTTACTAGTGCATGTCTTTAGCAACCTTCTCAGTTATAAGCACTTTGGATGTAGAGAACTCCTATACAATGCAGTTTTGTACATTTTATTTATTCATTTACTCCGTGTTATAGCCGCCCCTCTCAAACCAGTGAAATGATTGAATTACAAAAATTGGAATTTACTCTCCATGCCTGAATAAAATCAGCCCTGCTGTTAGGATATAAATAAGACTGTAATTGTACATATGCAGAAATTTGGAGGGCATCGTCCAATCAAACTTCATAATTTAAAGCAGGTCATGATGGATTATTTTGTTTTTGTTTTTTTTAAGTCGTGTTTGGTTTGGTTTTGATTTGGAGAATAAATGAAATAAGTTTGGAATCATGCTTTAAAAGATGTCGCATCAGGGCTGTGTTATCTTGGTTTGAAACCTGAACATGGTCCAGCAGTTGGTGGAGTCAATGCCAAAAGTAATAGTAGTGATTTTTATCTTTATTCAGCAGGGAACAACACGAGCATTAGAAATTAAATTTCTGCCCAGGCATTTTCCTTCACCAGAGGGAACAAGAGTCTCATCAGAACCAGATCTCATCTGCAAAACTGTAAAGGACCATGACATGGTAGCAGTGGAGAGATTTCTATACATCTTACTTACTTACTCCTTCCTTCCTTCCTTCCTTCCTTCCTTCCTTCCTTCCTTCCATCCATCCATCCATCCATCCATCCATCCATCCCTCCATCCTGGCTTCCATTTGGTAGTTACCTGAAGATTTATAATCCAGATCTGGTAGCTCAACTAGGAGGGCAGAAGGTCACTATCCTGAGATCCAGTGTTAGATACACTCCTTAGTAGATGTTTTTCTTTCCCCTCCAGGTTTTCAGCTGGGGGCTTTCTCAATCCTACTGGGAGATACTACAGATTGAACATTGAATCTGTAGAAGACAAATTAGGTCCCTTCATTCGTATTAGAGCTGGAGAGAATGTTTGGAAGCATGAAGCCATCCTGAATATAAGGAGAGGCAGATCTTTGGATGCAAGTGAAAGTTCCAGTAGGATATTTAGCAAAATTTACTAAATACAAGATAATCCAATGCCTTCTATTTTTTTTTCTTTTTAATTTTATTGAAGATACTAGCCACCCCAAGCAGGATAAAACCTGGTTGATACTAAGAAGGATGCTACAGGATGCTGCTACATCACTTCCAGGGGATTTTAAGTCAATGTTAAAAGCAGATGGTGACCTCCAAATTTCCTAGATTTTATCCTTAATAGCTTTAAAAATAGGAGTGATGTGGCCAACCAGGCTGCTGCTTCTAGCCAGGAGGTCTCAAATAAGGCCCCTCCTATCCTTCGATGAAGTCCAAGCCCTTAATCTCGTAGCAGGACATATCTAGATGCAGGTATTTCTCATCTTCCTCTGGGAGAAGAATCGCAACCAAGGAAACCAAGGGTTTCCTTTCTTCTATTATTTTACTCTATTGTTTACCATTTACAAGTGACTTAGCATTTTATCCTTACAAGGTCTTTACCTTGGCTAGTATGATTTCTAAAATTAATTCAAAGATCGCAATATATGCATGTTATGTTTTATTGATCCAGACTTGGACTCTGGGAAAAAAAATTGATAGGACCTTATTGATTCGTTGATTTCAAAGGGACGTTTCAGATCTATAATCTAATGCTTTGCTCAATGTAAATTTTAAAATATCAGCTACAACCTCAGCCAGTCTTGCTTCTGTTCCCAACAAAGCAAACTCCAGGGAAGATGTTCTCCTAAAACCTTTAGCTGAAACCTGCTTCCCTGAAATTTCTGCCATTGGTTCTAGTCCTTCCAGAACAACAGAGGAGAAACATACTCCATCTTCTGCATGCTATTCTCGAAGATAGCTGTCATATCTCCCTTAACAGCTAAATCTTTCAGCATTTTCAACTGTTCCCCTTAGAACTTGGCTTCCACATACCCACAAGCCTGATTATCCAACCCTGGGCATATTTTCACGTGTCTATCCCTCAGGTGTGGTTGTGTGGTTTGTTAGTGTAAACCATGTGCCTGAAGGACAGACATGTTAAATTTGATGAACTCTTGCACTAATCTCCAATGCAATCATGTTAGGATCGCTTTCTTCCTGTTGTTGCAATGGTCTATCAGTGCAGATGCAAATGCCCCAAATAAACAAATAAAATCTGCACAGAAAGAAACTTGGTGTCTTACAGGACGATGGGGTTCCTTTGCAGGAAATATTTAAACAGAGTTGGATCATTATCTCTGTCTAGGATGTTATAATTGCAATGTGCATAATGGATCTTGCATTGAAAACAGAGCGTTGGACCAGAAACCCTTTGAGATCTCTTCATCTTTAAAACTCCATGAATGAATGAATGAATGAATGAATGAATGAATGAATGAATGAATGAAAGACCTTTATAGGACTTAGACTGCTCCAATCACAAACTAACTCTGAATTTAGGGTCATTACATCAAGGTTGTTTCTTCATCACATTTTAGTAGAAAAAGCACATCAATAAGTCACGTTAAAGGTAGAGGAGAAAACAAATTAAAGGTATGAAAGGACAGAACAAACTGTGCGAGTATCCACTTTTCAGTAAATCAAAACAACTAGACTTCCGTTGCACGGGCACCATTTTACAGTGAATTCTGGATATCAAAACCCGAGGGGAAATTTGGATGCAGACAAATTAGGCAAGACCTTTACACGTAATCATGAGGTTTATTGCAGTGCGTTGCATACATTTTCATCATCAAACATTCTCCCTATTAATTGCATGTTGCATATTTCAGTAAAAGCACAGTGAATGTCAGTGGGTTTATACAAACACAATTCAGTAAATGCAGTGCTGAATTTAGCGATTGATTTCCTCATTCACTCTCCCCAATATGTTAATTGTCTCTGTGTTGGGATATGTGTGCATGTGTGTGTGTGGGGTAGATGGGTGGGTGCGGTTGTGTTTTAATTTGAAAGAAACCAGTTTTGTGAGTTCCCATCTGTAGCCTCAAGTGACAGAATAAGACAGAGCTTTACTATTTCATTGGCTCTATGCAGGAGGGTGTGTGTGTGTGTGTGGGTGGGTGTGTGTCAAAAACATCAAGATGGTGACTAAACATCAAGATGAGGCACATAAAAAAGGGACAGGACTTTGATCAACTGGTTGTAGCCACCATCTTGACTTTTCTGACCCAGGCTCCCTGCAGATCTCTCTGGTTGTATTCAAGTTGAACATCTATTATTGTGCTTTCCATTTTGGTGACAACAGATGTTATAATTTGTATAAGAGAGGATGTCAATTCCACAGTGAAATGTTTCTCATATTTCCATCTCAGGAGGCCACAAGCTAGAAGTTCTCTGATATTATTTGGACACAACTTCTGGTCCTTAGGTAAATTCCATTCGTAGCAGCTGGACGTAGCAAATACAGGATATTCTCTTATTCAAATTAAAACTTTGCCCACAGGAGAACTTATCATTTACCATGATAGGACTTTTCATGAGCTGAAGGTTAGGGGAATTGAGACCTACTCTGAAATAATTTTGACGGGCATATTAATTTCTGCATCCATAATCTCATGAAATGTCCATTTGGAATTTGGGCATTAAATTTAGGCATGGCCCTTTAGAACCCCATGTCACCTAGGTATTTTGGACTTCTGCATTCTCATCCGTTCTTTTTTAATCTCCAGGACTGATTTCTGTCATGTGTTGTAGTTGTGGCTGCTCTTGAAGGTGACCTCAAAAAGCTTTCTAGATGCCAAATGACTATCTTATCCCTGAGGCTTCCAATCACGAACCATGAACCTGTTGTGGCCCCATATGGCTATTTTTGTTTAAATTAGATTATTTAAAATAAATGATATGCATCTAGAGGGCACTTAAGGGAAATCACCCAAGGGGAACATTTTCTTCTGTAGTTTGGGCTTTGTTATGGTGGAAGACAGGGCGAAGATGATTTGATCTGACGTGATCTGATAATCTCATAAAGTTGGCCTAGAAACCAGCACAGCAGCAACCTACCTGGAGACATAAAAATGGTCCTTAATTTGCCAGGACTTGAAAGTGAGGCTCTTGACAGTTTAACAACCACTGTATAAAACTCACCTGGTGAACTTTTCATATCCATATTTTGGTCCCCAGCCAATTATTTTCCAATCTTGTTACTAGCTTCCTTCTGCAAGGACTCAAGGAAATGTTAATAGCATTAAGCTAGTTATAGACAATGATAAAGTTGGCTGCCAGACTGGCCTTCTACACATTTTTGACTGGTCATTAGTTAAGGGACTGCTGGAGGGACTATTTGACAGATTTCCAAGTATCCTGAGTTTCTCATTAGAATAGGAGGGCGCAGTTACTAAAGACTGCTGTGTGCCAAATATATGCAATCAAATCGGGTCAGTGTAATGGAACTTTTCCTGTCTCTATAATAAAACCAGGACAAATACTTTTCTTAGGCAAACATATGTAGGACAGTGGCTGCAGATATGCAACACCAATCCAATATAGGCATGTGATAAAATGGGTTTTAGTGTTAACAAGTAGTGGTGAAGGCACCAGACAAGAAACCAGGAGACCGTGAGTTCTAGTCCCACCTTAGGCACAAAGCCAGTGGGGTGATCTTGGGCCAGTCACTCTCCCTCAGCCCTAGGAAGCAGGCAATGGTGAATCACAGCTGAAAAACCTTGCCAAGAAAACTGCAGGGACTTGTCCAGGCAGTCACCAGGAGTCAAGACTGACTTGAAGGTGTACAGACACAAACATTTAACATATACATATCTTTCGCTAACAAAAATTGTAAAGAACAACCATTAGAAAGCTTAACAGTTATGGGGTCATCGCTAGAAGTTGATGTTTGGGTGTACAAGGAAAATGAACATTGGATGTTGCACCCCCTGTAGTTTTGTTTTTCAGAGTTCAGATAGACTTCTTGGTGCCCAGTTGGTGCCCCTCTTCCACTCATCCATA